AACTCCTTCCGGGAAGATTTCCTACAGCAACTGAGCCCATGTATCTAGTTGCTGGCTTTGGAGGATGCTGACCTGCTTCCTGGATGCCGGTTCTGGTGTTGTGTGCTAGGCACTCACCAAACCCTTTGGCCTGCAATAGTGGTAGCCCCATTCAGTGGGAAGGGCCCTACATATACAACCGGAACACTGGGTTTGAGTCCTTCCTCCACTATTTCTTTGGGGTGGCCCTAATCATGTCTTAACTTCTCTGAGTATCAGCCCAAGTCCAACAGTGACTGTCTTAGAACAGGATGGTCAGGTCAGTTTTATAGACTTCATGGGTTAGGGTTGAGATAGTTCACTGGGTCTCTTAGGGGTCGTAGCCTGAAAGAACAAAACTATGTCTTGCTTTAAGAGTCTTTTTCCTCTACATTCTCTTCATTGAGCCCCACTGTAGCTCTGTGAAGTTCATGCCACTATCACCCCCATTTTGCAGGTGAGGAAGCAGAGACACAGGTGTAGGAGTTAAGGGAGTCTGGCAGAATAGAAATCTAGTATATCAGCCACTGATTTTACTGTGACCATGCTAGCTTCTGCCCTGCCTGAGCCTCAGAGATGCTAATGAGCAGAGCTATGTAGGAGGCACAGCCTGATCGCTTCCCTCTTTTCTTGCCAGGGGGAAGGACCTGAAAGAGCAGCAGGAGCAGAAAGAGGGTGAGAGGGAGATGCAGCGAATCACCCTGCCTTTGTCTGCCTTCAGCAACCCTACCTGTGAGATCGTGGATGAGAAGACTGTTGTGGTCCATACCAATCAGACTCCAGTTGACCTTCAGGAGGGCAGCGCCCCCCTCATGGGCCAGGCAGGCACCCCTGGGGCCTGAGCACCCCTACAATGGGCAGGAGCCCATGCAGACACTGGTACAAGATGGCCTACCCTCCTACAGCTAGGAGGATCTATACTTTCTGTTGTGGTTTAAACCCTCCTCACACTTGTTTTTGTTTGTTTTTGGTGAATCCTAAGACTGAAGCAAGAGGTGTTGTGGACTGAGGGCAAGGCTGGGCAGGGTCCTACCAACACTCTTCCTCCATTCCCTTGGAGCAGGATTTTGCCTGTGGATGGAAACAGTGACAGCCCCACAGCAGTGCTGCTGACAAGGGCTTCCAGACAGTGCCTGTGCCCTGGAACTGAATCAGGGATGGACAGGGAGCTCCCTCGGGCTCCTCTGTGCTTTATTATCTAAGGTGGTCTCAGTGTCCACCTTTCCATCTGTTCTTTGTGGGCTTGAGTGGCGCACACTGTTATTCATAGTTCAGGTCAAGTAACTGAAGGACGGCATTTTAAAAATATAGTTTTTTAAATATTTGGGATGGAACTCCCCTAGTGACTGCTGAGAACTGTAAGTGAGTGTGTATAAAAGTACAAACTGTGGGTTGAGAATGAGATCTAGACTGGGGGCTGCTGGGTGTGCTCCAGCTTGCTGGCAAGTGATGTGCCTTGACAATAGTGGGCTAGGCCCGGGCCCAGGCCCAGGGACTCTTCCTGTTTTGAAAGGAAAAGACTGAACTTTCCACTTACGAAGAAGGTAGATAAGGATCGCGACTGCCTTAGGCCATAGGACCTGAGGTGGACCTGGGGTGCCCCAGAAAAGTCTCTCTTCAGA